GGGATGTGCCCGCAACCCAGGTACATGCCCTTGACCGGAATCGAACCTGGGACCTTTCAGTCCGCAGGCCGACGCTCTATCCACTGAGCCAAACCGGTTTCGGCGACGAAAATAATTTTATGGTTGGGGGTCACCACAACGTGAGGAACTGTATTAAAGGGTCGCGGCATTAGGAAGGTTGAGAACCACTGCTCTAGATGAAGGAATTTGGCCCTTGTTGGGCTCATTTAAGAGCCTTTTGTCTTCTCTCATTCTCAATTTTGCTTTCTTGGTTTTTCTCCCTCTGAATGAAGTTTTATACTATTTTAAAAAACATTTAAAAGTATTTTTGAATATCTCTCAGCCCTCCCTGGCCTTGCCAGTAGACAGAAAGAGAAGGGAGACAGGATGCCAAACGTGAAGGGAAGGGGACGCCCCCTCACCCCAGCATTTCCCGTGTCTGGCCATTCTTGAAGCGGGCCTTCCCTCAGCGAGGACACGAGAGCCCTTGGACACTCGGAGCCCAAGGATCTTGTGAAATTAGTGATTCACGCTCCCTCTCTGCTTAGGACCAGGCCACGGGAGCCCATGCCCGCCAGCCTGGCCAAGGGGCCAGCACTGCTGCCGGCCATTTCAGGGTAGCCTGGGTCACCGCCGGCCAGGGTTCCTCTGCCCAGCTAGTCAGCTATGGCACTTCACCGCCACGGTGCCCTGCTGCCATGTTCTTCACAGAGATGACACAGGTCACCTTGGCATTGGTGTTGGTGCCGTGCTACCATTGGTTCTGCCTTGATAAATAGGCCTTGGGTTTTTTGTTCTATTTTTATTTTTATTGATTTCAGAGAGGAAGGGAAAGGGAGAGAGAGATAGAAACATCAATGATGAGAATCATTGATTGGCTGCCTCCTGCACGCCCCCTACTGAGAATCAAACCCTGACCTCCTGGTTTGACGCTCAATCACTGAGCCACACTAGCTTGGTGACCTTGGGTTTCTCTTAACCAGTTAACTGCCACGATATTTTGAATTTAATTTAAAAAGGTCCGCCATTTGCGTCTGTACGCTTATGGCGTACAAATGCTTGAAGAGTTTTACTCTAACCTGTGAAGGCCGTCCTTTGGGACTAGCCCTTTCCCCGGGAAGTTGCTGGTTTTTCTTTCCACCTTTTAGTAGTCGAGGCGTGACTTCAGGTGAAGCTCATGGCTGTCACTGTGTGTCATTGTGACTTGTCCTGCATCTAGACTGCCCTCCATTGCCTGACTGGCCCCTTGTCACGAAATGAGAGGACACGGCGGCGCCCTCTGCTGGTGGGGCGCATGCAGGATGGGGCCTGACACTGAACGAGCTCCTACCTAGACACTATTCGCTGGAGCCAGGAAGTTGATGGAGAAATGAGCCTTTCAGTCAGTTCCCATGTCCGCATCAGCCGAGGGTGGATCTGGCAGGGCTGGCATTTCGTCATAGTCACCAGAGGCCTAGAGACGCGGTCACGTTTCTGGCCTCGAGAGTCCCAGACTGAAAATGTTCAGCAAACAATCGTGCCCCCTCCGCTCACAGGGCGCGGGGGCTCTGGAGGAGGCAGCTATTTCTTCTTCCTCCCACACTCCCGTGGACGTGCTGGGTGCTTACCGTGCGGGGCGCTGGGGAGGCCGGTGGCCGGTGCAGAGTGGGAGGTGCCCGAGTCAGTAGGGCACGTGCTGTGACAGGATGCCCCAGGCACTGGTGTGCAGGGAGTGACAGGCTCGAGGGGGTGTGACAGGGAGGGCTTCCCAGAGGAGGGGGTGCTCGACCGGAGGTTTGGAGAACAAGCAGGGGGCAGCAAGGGGTTCTCTGGGGACATGAGTACATGAGCAAACGCCAAGGGTCATGACCTGGCCACCACAAGGGGACCCCTGAGAAAGGAGCCAACTAATGGGGAGAGGTTGGTTGGTGGGCAGAGGTGTCAGCTGGGGCCCCTGCAAAGGGCCCGATAGGCTTGCAGGGAGGGCAGGTGGTTCCGTGGAGCAGGGCGACGCCCAGAGTCATCCAGACAGCGCCTCCTGGCTGCTGACAGTGAGGAGGAGGGCGAGGGAGACCCCAGGTCCACTGCCAGCTTTCCTGGGTTACCAACCCTCCCCCCGCAGCTTTTGGCCACTGGCCTGGTGGGCAGGCTCAGTAGTAGTTTCCATGGGTCACGGCCACAGATGGAGGTGGAACGTCAGGGTCCACGTGCCCACCGACTGGGCCCGCACCAGCTCGGGGTCGTTTGCTGGAGGCACTGAGGTCTCAGGCGGCACCCCGAGGACCCCTGCAGCTATACCATGAGGGAGTGGGCCCGGGTGGCTAGTGACCTTTTGGGGGTGCTCTTCACCAGCTCGTCACTGCAGGAGTCAGGTTTGCATTCTTCTCTTTGCAGCTGCCTACCGCAATCTGGGTCAGAATTTGTGGGGGCCCCACAGATATGGGTGCCTGTCGGGGGTCCGGGTGCGGACGGTGGTTTCGGGGTCGTGCGCTGCCCACAGCCTCCTCATCACCACAGAAGGGAAGCTGTGGAGCTGGGGTAAGTACGCCGGGCTGAGTGCTGGGTGACTCATGCAGCCGGTCCCGCGGGGCCGGCTTCCTCCTGCGCCGCCTCTGAGGCACAGCTCCTGGCTTCAGCCCCCATTTCCCCTTCCTGGTTCCCGACTCGTCTTGTCTGCACCCTGCGATGCATCACCTCCCTCCACTTCTCTGCTTTGCTTTTTAAAAAATCTTTACACAGCCCCCTAATTCTTCGAATCCTCCTCTTGGGGCCACCTTTTCCTGAACATTCTCATGGACTCTGGGACTTTCTGATACCAAGGTGCCTAGAACTCAGTTTCTATTTCGGGCCTGCGGTCCCCCCAGCACATGCCCCCCCGCCCCTTGCTTTGCAGCGGTGACGTAAGACCTCTGTTCTCGCACTTTAAATGCCACCAGCTTTCCTAGCGGCCACATGGTGACATCAGCCCTGCGTCTTCTCTGCAGCCCTGTTCCTCTTCCCGGGGTCACGCAGGCCTGCAGGTGGGGCGGCTCATTGCACATTGCGGCCATGTCTTACTGTGTTTCCCAGGCAGTTTCCTTTTTCCAAGTTGATTGGCTTCCCCTGCTGCTGGGTTTCCTTGCTTGGGCCCAGCCCCCTGCGGGGGGCTGCGTGCATTGCGGCCACCTCCCCTCCCGGCCATGATCCAGGTGTTGTGCAGGCTCAGCTCGCCCCCTGCCCCTCTGGTAGCTGGGACTCACCTCTGCCCGTGAACTGCCTGCCGCGGCCCTGCCCTTTGCTTCCGGCCCTCCGGCCAGCTTTTAGTCCAAATGCTCTGCCCCATTTCAGTGCTCCCTGCGGGGGGCTGCAGGCATTGCGGCCACCTCCCCTTCCGGCCATGATCCAGGTGTTGTGGAGGCTCAGCTCGCCCCCTGCCCCTCTGGTCGCTGGGACTCACCTCTGCCCGGGAACTGCCGCGGCCCTGCCCTTTGCTTCCGGCCCTCCGGCCAGCTTTTAGTCCATGTGACTGCATTTTTATTTGGGTCTGTTTGAACCGTTTTTTGCAATTTCATGAGCTGCTGAACCAAAGTTCAAATATATTAACATCTGTTCTGCCTGCACTCTGCTAATTTTGTCATTCAGTGGAAAAAAAGCTCACAAGTGTGTCTGGCCCAAATTTATACTTTCCGTCTCTTGACGCCATGCTGACATTGCCTTGATTTTCGCTCTCTCCCGGCTGGCACAGAGGTGTGTCCCGCCCCCTCATGTTCCAGCCCTGAGCACAGCAGTCTGTCAGTCCCACTGTACAATCGCACTCCCGATCTCCACCGGATTTCACTTACGTGGTGCTTCTAAAAACGTCCCCTCTGCCGGCCCCGTGGGCCGGGGACGAATCTGTAGACTGTCCACCTGACCTGGCCCTGGGGCGGAGATGTGTCCCATGAGGAGACGGGGTGACGGGCCAGTGGGGGTGTCACGAGCCCACTGCTGGGCACTCTAAGGTGCGGGGCCTGCCCACCCCGAAGCATCAGATCTGTGTGCACGTCACCCACGAGGGGTCTGCCCCTGCCAGCCCCTCGGGCCGCAAACCCAGCAGCACTTGTTCAGTGTAAAGTGCCTTTCACAGTGAACTTGGGCGGCCCCGTTAGAAGCTGGTGTCTGCCTCTCCTGCCCTCCTCCCCCGCGCTACATGCTGTAGCTGAAACCAGGCTTGTGTGCAGACGGGTTTCCTCGGGTAACTCCTCCTCCAGCCCTCTCCAGGGTGGGTGCTCGTCTGGTGGCCCTGCTCTCACTCCCAGACCCAGAGGTCAAGTTCATTGTTCCGAGGGGTGTGAACCACCTTCCCGAAGTGCCCTGACCTTTTGGCCCTGTAAAACCTCCCGAGACCTCCCAAACTGTTGTAGTAAGTGTGGTCTTCTCCACTCCAGGACCTGCTGTGGGCCCGTTGGGTTGTTTCGCTTTGCAGCGCTTGTAGCCTGTGTTGAAATGGGGAGGTTTAGGGGTGTCCAGGCTCCTTGTGGCCCACACAACTCGCCACGTCTGCTTTGGAGCTGAAGGGCTTTGCCAGAGGCCTGGGCATGGCGGGGACTAGGCACCAGGGTCGCCTCCTGGCCTCCCTCCGCCTGACCCCACAGCCAGCACAGCTCCGGAGGCAGGGCTTGTGCTCAGAGCGGGCCTGGCCTTTGTCCATGGCTGGGGTTCCCACGGCTGGGCGTCCTGTGAAGGGTGGCCCCGGGAGGTGGGTTGGCAGTGTTCGGGGAGCTTCGTTTATAGGGCAGATAAAAGGAAGAGAAGCGGCAGGCAGAACCAGATGGGCCACAGTAGCTGCCCAGAGCACTGAGGTAATTAAACTCTTGTGCGGCAGGTGTCGGAATGGTTGCCGACTTAAAATACATCGTGTAGCGCAGGGGATGAGGGAATTGTCTGGCGGGGACCGTGAGAAGCGAGTTTCCATGAGCTCTTTCGCTGGTGTGTGACATCAGGCCCCACGGAAGTGCTCAGGGCGGGCCTTGCGCCGCCCCAGAAAGAGGGTCAGAGGCGGTGACGCAGGCCCTTGTGGCTGCCGCGGAGACGTCCCTGGGGACCCAGTGCTGCCGGGCAGGGCTCGGGAGCCGGCCCTCGACTGGGAAGCTGGCGCTTCCTTTCACCTCCTTGGCTGTCGCACTGGGGGTGGGGGCACGTCTGGGAGCCAGATTTGCCCCAGAAGCTGCTCCGGCTGCCCTCCTACCTCTTCATCCTGCTCTCGATCTGCAGGCCGAAACGAGAAGGGGCAGCTGGGACATGGTGACACCAAGAGAGTGGAAGCCCCCAGGCTCATCGAGGGTCTCAGCCACGAGACGATCGTGTCGGCGGCCTGCGGGCGGAACCACACCCTGGCCTTGACCGGTAAGAGGAGTCGGTTCCTTGGTGCTGTGGCAAGAGGCCAAGTGGTCCTCTTTGGGCAGTGGGGTAGCATTGCCATGGCGACCTTGGTCACCATCAGAAAGACGCCCCGGAGAGCCTGGTGGGTGCTTCCCCTGTGGAGAGGGCGTGGAGAGCCTCACCCACAGGCCGGGCGGTTGCCAGGAGGCGAGGCTGTGAAATGGCTTTGCTCTGAGCCATCCGCTCCACCACCTTTTGGAATAAGTACCATCTCGCTTGAGTTCTTTCTGGCAAAGGGGCTGCTTTTATCATCTGGGAGCCTTTGATTCCAAACCCAGTTCCGAACCTGCAGCATTATTTTCCCTCCTGTGGTGTCATTCTTTCCTTCCAGAGACGGGCTCCGTGTTTGCATTTGGAGAGAACAAGATGGGGCAGCTGGGCCTGGGCAACCAGACGGACGCGGTCCCGAGCCCCGCACAGGTACCCGCCTCCTCGCCCTCGTGTGCTGATTGTCTAGGGTGGGAGTGTGGATTTGTCTTGATTCCTGGGACAGAGTCTGGCCGCTTTGAGTGGAATCACACGCTGTCGTCTTTAAAACAGGTGTAATGTATGTCCACAGTTAAAGATGCCCTGACAGCAGTTCTTTCGGAATGAAGTAATTTCTTAGAGACCTCGTTTTAAGCTCGTTTTATCCCAAAGAAAGGAAGAAATCTTACGTGTGTGATGCATTTATCTGCCAGTAGTCACCGGCCAGGTGCTTAGAACACAAACAGGAGTTATTGGAGGGGTGGGGTTTATACCTAAAAACTGAACTTACTGCAAGGCAGCAGGATGCTGATAGGTGTCTGATGAGTGGGTTAAGGATGGACCCAGGTCTCCTGGTCTTAGCCTGTGGTTTGAAGGGTTTTTGAAGGGATCCTGTCTTGTCAGCCATGTGCCCTGCAGCAGGCGTGAGGGTTTCTAGAGAAGCAGGGAGGGTGGGCAGGGCCCCGATTCCCACCCCATCCCGGCTCCATCACTGATCCCGTGGTGCTGTGACTGTCTCTGCTCCTGGTCGGGGCTCTCCCAGGCCCAGCAGGGCGCCGGAAATAGCAAGTTTCCTAAGTACTTTCTTAGATTTGTTTCCAAACCCCATGTTCAGTTACTCAGGGCCTTCGCTGTCTTCTCACTTCTAATTTTGAACCAGTGTTTCTTGTCCACACCTTCAGTGAAGACCATTGGTCAAGTATCTCTGGAGAGTAGAGAGAACGTCCAATAGTTCATTTTACTGATTGGCAGTAACACTTATAAAAGCTTTTCTTTGAAAACTTAGGGCTGAACTGTTCAGAGTGTCCCTGTGAGAGCTGAGGGTTCATGTTGGGGAGTTCCCGCGTTCTTTCGCCCCTATGCCCACGCTGGTCAGTGGAATTCCCGCTCACTGGCACCAGCATGCGGGAGCCACAGTGCTGGTTGTTTTGAGGGTTAGAGTTAAAGACCTGGGACACAACTGACCTGTCTTTGAACCTGACTCTGGTGGAAGGTAGGGGTCACGAGTATTTCTTTACGTATACACTGAGTGGCCAGATTATTATGACCACCCCATCACATCAGTACTTCATTGACACTTCCAAAAATACTGAATATTGAAAACTTCCTACCCAAATACTCTCAAGGTTTTATTATTATTATTTGCATAACTAATTCACTTCATTGTACTGATGGGGTGGTCATAATAAGCTGGCCACTCAGTGTATATATGCTAAGCTTTTGCCTTCAGAATTATTGAGCCCATTAAATCTCTTTTGTAGCCTAGTAACTGTTTCAGCACCAACCAGAGATAGAGACTTTTTAATCAATCTTTTAAAAAAAAGTCTGAAAGTCTGCTGTCTTTTCTTTTCAGATAATGTACAACGGCCAGCCAATTACCAAAATGGCCTGTGGGGCCGAATTCAGTATGATAATGGATTGCAAGGGAAACCTCTATTCCTTCGGGTGCCCTGAGTACGGTCAGCTGGGTATGGAAGTGTTATCTTTTTTGAAAGCTCTGTGATCTAACTGTATATTTAGAGCTGAAGTCGGCAGGGCTGCACACCTGCTAGAAATGTGCGTAATTGATCGCAGATAATAGCCTTGGTCCACTAAGTGGGTCTCATGTCTAGTGGGTGGAGCTTGCGTGACTCACAGGGGTGCTGAGTGACTTGCCTTAAAGAAAAAGCCAGGGCTCTGGTCTGATAAAAGATTCCTTTTTCTGATTTGGGAGTTCATTTATACACAGAAGGCTTTCAAAGTGGAAAAGGGGATCAAACCACCTTCATTCAGTTTCATATTTTTAAAGATTTGCTCTTATTGGAAATGAGGGCATTACCAAGGTGAAGTTGTTCTGGAAACCCTGGCCTGGGCGGTCATTTCCAGTACATTCCTGGGGAACCACATGCTGCAGAAAGGCCACAGGAAAAGCGACTGCATCCCTTCCCGTTCTCATCCCTAAACAGAATGTACTCTCCAAAAACATACCTACCTAAAGCTCACTGAGTAGAAAAGAAAAACTCGGGAAGCAGCTCTCAGCAGTTCTCAATAAGCGGAAGAGTCTCTGCATCGTGATTTTACAAGGTCTCCATTTTCTTTTCCCATCTGACACCAAAGTGTTTTTCCCTTCCTGGCGCCTTCCCACCACCCCAGCCCCATCCGAGTGGGAGGTGAGGCGTGGGCGCCCTCTGCTGGCGCCTTGCTGCATGCCACGCCAGATCCTCGCCCCCGGATCTGGGTTGCTGGGCTCCACGTCATGAAAAGCAGGCAGATGGGAGGTTGTATAAATAGAAGGAGGAGCATCTCGCTGGCCTTAGACTTCAGGGAACAGTGACTTTGTGAAACTAAATATAACTCAAGTCAGAAAGGAATAAGAAAGAACAGCCCCTTATGCACTTTCAGGGCTGGTTGCCGGGGAGTTGCCAGAGACGGCTGGAGGAACCGTTTCCATAGCCACAGGCCCTCCGGCTGTCCCCAGTCCCAAGCAAAACACCAGAAGTGCGTTTCTGTCTACTTCCGGAACGTGTGTGGCTCCCCTGCCGCCCATGGCTGCCCCAATCTGCAGACAAGCGGCCTGTCAACGATTGGATTTTCCTTCAGGGAGAATCAAGTGCTGTTGGTGATAAAAATGGCTAACACTTAGGGACTGTTGCCAGTCACCTTTTAAGCACATCATATGGAATCTCACCTGCATAGTTTATACTCATTTAAAGGTATTGAGAAATTGACTTGATTTATAGCTATAGAGTCAGTTATTCTTTACTTGCCAGCTTGCAAACCTGTTTCCAATCTCATTGTCCAAATCCAGAGAGATCTCTTCTGGAATTGGGGCATAGTGTGACCTTGGAGAGGCGCATCGCCAGCACACACTCCCCCTTCTCAGAACACATTTACTGGGTCAGGCAAGGCAAAGGCGAGAACGTGCCCGCTTACTGTTTTACCAACCATAGTGATACATTTAGGTTACAATAATGCATGAAAACGCAAGTCTGGGGCTGTGTGTTGAACTTTTCTGTCCATCCTTGGCCTTGTCCAGGGGTTCCTGGAGGCCCCCAAGTGGGGTACAGCCCATTCCTTTGGGCCTGTATCTTCCAACTTTGTCCCATGCAGCCCACAGTATGAAGTACATTCTACATTGCAACCGAATCTGAATGTAGAAATACAAATACACAGAATAATGTCCTTATTGGTATTTATTCATTAAAAAAAATAACTGAGTAACTGATTCCAACCCACAAAATTGATTTCATGCCACTAACCAGCTGTGCCTCAGATTGGAGATTGCTGCCTTAGTTGGCAAAGGTGTCCTGCTGGACCCCAGCCGGCCAGGTGGGGGCAGGTGCTCGGCCCGCTGCTGTGGGGACAGTGGCCTGTGCCGCGGCTGCCGCTGACCACCGGCTCTGCTCGCTGCAGGACACAACTCGGACGGGAAGTTCATCGCCCGTGCACAGCGGATAGAGTACGACTGCGAGCTGGTGCCCCGGCGAGTGGCCATCTTCATTGAGAAGACGAAAGACGGGCAGATCCTGCCAGTCCCCAACGTGGTTGTACGAGATGTGGCGTGTGGCGCCAACCACACGGTGAGTCCCGAGCGCCCCCTCCGTGAAGAGGGTGCGAGTGCCCCGGGTCCCGGCACCTGGCGCTGCAGCTTCCTTCCTGCTTCCGTAGACGGGGCTGAGCAGACATTTGGGGTTGGGATCATACAGTGTTTTCCTGCTTTGCTTCTGTCTAGCAGAACTCCAGGGGCGTCTTTCCAAGTGGGTAGATGGCATCCTGTTAGAGATGTTGAATAGCTTTGTTTTTTTAAATATATTTTTGATTTCAGAGAGAGCGGGAGAGATAGAAACATCAATGATGAGAGAGAATCAGTGATCAGCTGCTTCCTGACACCCCACACCGGGGATCGAGCCACAACCCAGGCATGTGCCCTGACCGGGAATCGAACCTCTGAGCCCCGCCGGTTGGGCTGTTGAGTAGTTTTTATACAGCTTTTAGTTACCCGTGTGGTTTCCTTAACCCTTTGCGTGCCAACCAATATCCTAGGAACTATGCTAAAATTGCCAAGGCATTTTTGCTGATTTTACAGCAGTTTAGGAAAAGAATTATGAATCGCAAGTAAATGAAGTTACATATTCAAAAACTTAAGGAAACCTTTACTACATTGACATATTTAGCAATATCATCACTAATAAAAGCAGACTTAGAACTGGGCGCCATTTCCAAGCTTTGATAGCGCTCCCGGCACTTTTGGCGAAAGACAGGAGGAGCACTATCTAGTTGCCTCCCTGCAGCCATTTTGCTGCGAACGCCTGTGAGTTGCACATGGGTTTTTTCTCTGTTGAAAGAGCGAGGGGTTGCCCTAGCCAGTTTGGCTCAGTGGATAGAGCGTCGGCCTGGGGACTGAAGGGTCCCAGGCAGGGCACATGCCTGGGTTGTGGGCTCCATCCCCAGTAGGGGATGCACAGGATCAATGATTCTCTTACATCATTGATATTTCTCTCTCTCCCTCTTTCTTCCACTATGAAATTAATAAAAATATATTTTTAAAAAGCCAACCAAACAAAAATAATAACAGAAAATAGTGTCCCCAGTGGAGCAGCCAGCCGAGCCCTTGTATTGCTGCTCCTGCCGCCTCCCCCACCCTAGGAGGCGGGTGACGGGTCAGTCTGTTCAGTGTTGCGCTTCCTTTGCCGTCAGCCACTGCACCAGTTTCTCCGGGACAGAAACGAGGCCTGTCCCTACCCTGTGCTCTCTCCCGCAGCTGGTCCTCGACTCCCAGAAGCGCGTCTTCTCCTGGGGCTTCGGCGGCTACGGCCGGCTGGGCCACGCGGAGCAGAAGGACGAGATGGTGCCCCGCCTGGTGAAGCTATTTGACTTCCCTGGGCGCGGGGCGACCCAGATCTATGCCGGCTACACCTGCTCCTTCGCCGTCAGCGAAGTGGGTGAGTGTTGCCCGTCTGGGCCTGGGGAGGAAGGCTCCGAGCATTCATGGGCTTCCCTCCCTGGCAGAGCTCTGCGGGAGCCAGAGCTGGGCCTGTTTCAAGGCCGGGCATCTTGATCTCATCGGCTTCTTCCCAGTGTTCTTGCTCATACAACACTCCTTTGTCCCTGGTGCCGAGCGCCCTGTGCCTTTGTCCTTGGTGTTGCTGATGGTAAGAATTCACAGAGGGTCGTCTTTGCCTCTCCAGGTGGCCTGTTTTTCTGGGGGGCCACCAACACATCGCGGGAATCGACCATGTATCCGAAGACCGTGCAGGACCTCTGTGGCTGGAGGATCCGGAGCCTGGCTTGTGGGTACGTGGCCGTGTCTGGGGTTGAGCAGGACTGTCCCCCTCCTGGGGGTGTTGCACCCCGGAGGTGCCTCTTCCCTGGAGGGTCTGCTGTCCGTCAGGGCTTCGATGGAGGGATGGGGGTGGGGCGGACTGTGCTTGTTCAGGGCGGCCGGTCTGAGAAGGGGACTCGTTTTGCAGTCATTGTGGAGGTTTTTGTTCTTTGGAGGCTGATGTGCGCTGCTCATGTTACAGATTCAAAATTATATTTAGTTGGAAATGGTGAGGATTCAGTTGCTCTGATACACTGGCTGGAAAAAATTGAGGCCCGTGATTTTCACCTTATTTGGAGGAGCCTGTTGAGCCGTCCAACAGTTCTGGTGGGGAGTTTGTTAATCAGCGGCCAGGTTGTGGAGAGAGCAGGGCGGGCGGGGCACAGGCCCAGGTTGCTGGTGGGGTGTGTGTCATCTGTTGGAACCTTTAGCTCCGCCCAGTGACTGTGGGTCCAGCCGCTGCGAACGAGCTCCCACTTCATCCTGATTTGACCTCCTTTTCCCAGTGTGTTCACTTAGAAGTGACTACCACACCCACCCCCGGGGGCTTAGACCCCAGGGCGGTGGTGAGGCGGAAGGTGGGGTCCTGTGTGAGACTCTGCAGTGGGTTTCTCCGCCACAGCCCGTGCTCACTGGCTTGCCCTCCCTGTGCCCAGTTGCTAGGAAGTGAGTGCATGGTGGAGTTTCAGGGGGGCACCCGTCCTGAGCAGGACGCACCGCGGGGGCTGGGCCGGGCACAGCTCGCTGCCGGCCGGGTGGTGACCGCCTCTGCCTGTTGCAGGAAGAGCAGCATCATCGTAGCTGCGGACGAGAGCACCATCAGCTGGGGCCCGTCGCCGACCTTCGGGGAGCTGGTAAGCTGGCCCCTCCTCGGGAGGCGAGCCCAGTCCGGGCCGCTGACACTGATCCCTAAAGCACCTGGAGCAGAGACATGTCTTCCTTGCGCATTAAGGCCTGTAACAGTCTCTGATCTTTGAGGACGTCAGTCTTCAAAGACGGTTCTGTGCCATCAGGTACAGCCGACCCTGGACAACACAGCTGTTTTCAGTCGCCTGCAGGTCAGGTGACCCACACAGCTCAAACCTGGGTCCCAGGGTCACCCCCACAGCTGGGGATCTGTGTGTGCAGGGGGCCGACTGTGGTTACATGTGGATTTTCAACTTTGGGGTGATTAGTCCCTAACCCCCCGCTCCCGAGCTGTTTGAGGGTCAGCCGTACTCGTGAAAGCCCTTTCTGTCCACATCAGCTGGCCCGTCATGGGGGCGGGGAAGAGCCAGCCCTCATTTCCGGTGTTTTGTACACCTTGGTGTGGTCCGAGGGTGACAGGAAAGACGATGGCTGCTCTTCCCTCCAGGAGGGTCAGGTCAGGAGGATCACACAGCGCCCTTTTCAAGGGGGTGAGCGAGCATCCACTCTCCTCTTCCTTGGGCGCCCGGAGCCCTTGCACTCCACACGCAGCCCTGCTGGTTCACAGAGCAGTGCGCCATCCGGCAGCCTCGTAGGTCACCTGGGCACGTTCTGCTCTTGTGTGGGTCCAGCCATTGCGAGCCATTCTAAAGGGGTGTAAGTCTGTGCTCCTGCTTTTTATCTCAGTTGCTTGAGTGATTAGAACCAATGGCTCACTTTCTCCCACATACTTGGCCTATCCCAGCCAAACACTTCTGACTCTCAGGTTCTGGTGCTTGGTGAGGCCTTAACTCCCCATGTCCTCCTCAAGAACAGCTTGGCTGTGGCTTGTCCTCAGGGTCACCTGTTGTGCTTGTGGTTTGATCCTCAGCGTGGCTCTTGTATTTCCTGCCGGGAACGCTGTCTACCTCTCTTCCCTGCTATCTCCTCCTGTCGCGGGAGGGAGCCGGTGGGTGAGGGAGCCGGTGGGTGAGGGAGCCGAGGGGTGATGGAGCTGAGGGGTAGGGAGCTGAGGGGTGAGGGAGCCGGTAGGTGAGGGAGCTGGTAGGTGAGGGAGCCGAGGGGTGAGGGAGCCGGTGGGTGAGGGAGCCGGTGGGTGATGGAGCCGAGGGGTGAGGGAGCCGAGGGGTGAGGGAGCCGGTGGGCGAGGGAGCCAGTGGGTGAGGGAGCTGAGGGGTGATGGAGACGGGGAAGAAGGGCTTGATCTCTGCGCCACTTCCAGGACTGCTGAGCTACGTGCCTCCTTCTGGGCCTGTGCACCCACGTTCAGTGGGCGGCTTCTGAGGGGCCCCATGTGGAACCTTGAACTGAGAACCTGGCCCAGTTTTGATGGCCTATTCTTAGAGAGGGGGCCTCAGAAATAGACTCTGAATTTCAATTTAAAACTAGAGGGGAGCCCAGCCAGCATTGACCTATGAACCAGGAGGTCACAGTTCGATTCTGGTCAGGGCACAGGCCCAGGTTGCAGGCTCGATCCCGATCCCCAGTAGGGCATATAGGAGGCAGCCAATCAATGAATGATTCTCTCTCATTGATGTTTCTATCCCGCTCCCTTTCCCTTCTTCTCTGAAATCAATAAAAATACATGAAAAAGAAAAAAAAAACAACTAGAGGGGAATGAGAGGGGCTTTGGGGCAGCCTCTCAGGATGAGGCGCTGGCCTGGCACTCGAGGAGCCGCCCGCTGGAGGGAGGCCCTTCCTCACCCGCCTGCGTGTTCCCGTTAGAGCTGAGCTTCGGGTCTGCGGCATTGAGACCACCATCCCGAGCCTCTGAACATGGCACTCCCCCCTCCCCTCCCCTCCCCGCCCAGCCCAGCAGGCCTTGACCAGTCCCTTTGGTCCCTGGTAGGGACCGTGGTGTCATTCCTAATAATATCGGTTATTTGGTCTCAGCCCGCAGGGTGGGCAGGGCGGCAGCCGGCATTCCCTGTGACCTCGTAGCCCTGAAGGGCTGCAGTGCCGTTTCTCCCAGGTGTTGTCTCACCAGTGAGCGCCCCGAAAGGCACCTGTCGTCACACACGTCTCCACAGGCTACAATTTAGGGTCCGTCTTCAAGAACCAGTCCGTGTTGGCGGCAGCTTTTGTGGGTACATTCTGCTACCTCGGCCTGGCCCCGGCTGAGCAGTGGGGTTTGGTCGCAGAGAGCCCGCCAGCTCTGGTGCTGGTTGGTGGGCTGCCTTCGTTTCCATGTCGGGCCTCGCCACAGTGACGCGGTTCTGAGCGTCTCCTCTGCTTCCTCGCCAGGGCTACGGGGACCACAAGCCCAAGTCTTCCACCGCCGCGCAGGAGGTGAAGACCCTGGACGGCGTTTTCACGGAGCAGGTGAGCGGCGCCGCCGCCTGTGCAAGCAGGAGGCGCTGGTAGCGGAGGGATGTGCCAGCTCGCGCCTTCCTGTTCCCCTTTGTGGTCTCTGCATGTGCTTGTGCTGGCGTTCTCTGAGGATGACAGCCATCAGCAGGCACTCAGAGGCACCACGGCCAGGCTCCAGGGCGAGGCCATCTCACAGCTGCCCGTGGCTGCCCCCAAGACCGCACCCCCTTGGGCTGGGGCTGGTGGTGGGGTGAGGCCCCTTCTCCCTGTTAGGTCTACCAGCTGCCGGCTCTGTGTGCCAAGACGGATGGTGGGTGCACCTCACACAGACAGATTGTGGTCCAGAGAGGCGGGCAGAACGGGGAGCGTGATCCGAGTGTCCCCGCCAGCCCCTGCTCAGTGGGTCTCCCCCTCTCTCCTCGGGCAGCCTGGTTGGTGACAGGCCACACTGAGACCAGTGGCCCTGAGTATAGGGTTTTAAAGCACTTTTAGGCATACTCCATTTTCCTTCACATTGACCCATTGTCCCACCTTTACCCTTCCAGCTGGCTAGTGTCCTGTTGTCTGTGTGTCTGTCTGCTCCAGACTCAGTGACACGCCTGAGTGCCAAAGTGCCCCGGCACACCCAACGCTGATTTGTCCCCCCAGGTTGCCATGGGCTACTCGCACTCCCTGGTGATAGCGAGAGACGAGAGTGAGACTGAGAAAGAGAAGATCAAGAAGCTGCCAGAGTATAACCCGCGCACCCTCTGACTGCCCCGGGGCCTCCGCTCCCCCTCTCGCGGCAGCTGTCATTTCCACGTGCACTGGGACGGACGTCAGACGAGGAATTTAAAGGAGAAGTTGACCGGAGGTGCATTTTTGTTAGACTCCCTGAGGTTCCGTTTAGAAGTGATTCAACATCAACTACCTTTTCTGTATGCTTTCCAAAGTGTTTTTTTTCTCCATGTTTGATTAAAGTATTTGCTCATAGTTGACTTACCATTCCTACAAGAGGCAGAAACTTTGAGCAACCCAGGTTTTTTTTTTTAAGTTTTTCTCTTCCCCACCCCCTCAGATATACTTCTCACAACTCTCTCCTTTCCATTGTAATTAGCATTGTGATCGGAGCGGGTGCCACCTGGGGGAGGATCGCCATTTGCTCAGAAAACAATGTCCCTCACGGGCAGCATTGTTGGCAGAGGGTCCCCGGTGGTCCGTCTCCATCCGAAACCAGACCCACGTGCTTAGGAAGCATCTGGGTCACTTCCTTCCGCTTTGAGAGTGGCTCTGGCCGCCTGGGTTCCCTCCTCCCCGCGGCTGCTTGTAAGCCCCGCCTCTTGGCTGCAACATTAATAGAATCTGCCGTTTCCCCCCTGGTGGGGGCTCTGGGGTATGTGTTTAGCCATTTATATCTACTTTATCTGTACATGAAGTCCTAGTGACAAATCAGGTGACCATGGAACCATGCGGCTCCGGGGGGCCCGCCGTGGGGACATAGTATCTGGTTCAAGAACCAGCGTTAAGGTTCCTCTGCGGGGCCAGGGCCGCCTCGCAGCGCTCGCCATTAGAGATTGATCTGCCAGCTGAGAAAAGTGCATTCTGAGTCCTTGCAAAGGACCTGCCCTGTGTACCAGCCTCTAGCGCCTTTGTGCTTGTTTTTATCACGCCCCCGCCCCCCCCCCCGCCGCTGGATTCCGCTGCAACAGCCCGGGCTGTGTCTGAGACTCGGGTTCCAGTTCTGCTAACCCAGCTCTAGTCACGTTGGCTTGGCTGTGGTACCAAATAGATGGGATGATGCAGAAGTCCCGTCCCCGCGTCAGCGCAGACGCTGAGACTGCCAGCTGCCTCCCGCCAGGCACCTGTGCCCAGCTCGTCCCGCGGTGGCTGCTCTGCGTGAGCTATGAGGTGCCTTTCCCGGAACCCTCCCCTCACTGGGACCCAAGAGAGGCGACAGCGCTGCCTGGGGCTCTTGGCTTCAAGAGGGTCTGGACTGGTTTGGGTGCTTTAAAATAGGTTTTTTTAGTTCAGTGGTGCTTCTGGGGGAGATGGGGATAGAACTTCAGCGTGAGACTCGGGTGGATGGGAAAGTTAACTATTGGTCTTTGATTTTGTTTTGCTATTGTTACCACTTGTCATTGTCTTGATGTTAAAATGCCAAAAATGATCCGGTTGTTGCTTTTCCCCTGCTTGTCCTCCGCTCCTCGCTGTGGCGTCTGCCCTCACAGGGCCTGTGTCTGTCCCAGGCCGGGCGTGAGGAGCCGGCCTGTGGCCAAGACTCAGTCTCACTTCCTGCTCATCTCCGCTGTCCTGGGTCCAGCCAGTCCCGGGAGAAGCTTCTGCTAAACTAACCTGATTTGTCCAAATCACCCCGAAACCATCTCTAACTCAAGCTTCCTCATGTGGAGCCCTTTTCCCTGACAAGTCTCTTGGAGTGGGGTTCGGTGCCCGTGTTCCTCAGACCCGCACAGCTCCCCTCGGGCCCGTAGGCACTGAGTGCGGGAGCGGAGCCTGGGTCCGGGCTGCGGGAGCCGCTCTTGGCCTCGCTGGGCTTCCACGGTCCAGCGGACTGAGCGGAGGCCACCGCCAGCCCGTTCTAGAGCCCTCGCAGGGACCAGAGCAGGAAAGGGACTGCCTTCCGCGTGAAGACGGCCTCCTCTCCCCCAATCACTCCTTTCGCTGAGTTTAAGGTGAACTTCCTACCGGGAAACCCTGTAGAACAGGAGGGGTGGCCCCGCGCTCCAGGGGAAGGGACGCGGCTTGGTGAGTGCTTGGCGCTGACCCGGGGGCGCGTGCCATGTCTTCCAGCGCAGGAAGGAGAATTGGGAAGAGGCTTAGAGTGAAGGGGAACCTGAGGAGGTTGTGATTTGGTCGAAGGTGCCTGGTTTAGTGCTGTAATTGTCTTATTTTTTTTATATATATTTCTTGGAGTAAACATTTTAAATAAACGACATCATTGTTTACTCTGTTTTGGCTTTTGCGCTTATTTTTCAGTGGAACAAAGGTAAGAACGTGATCACCTGTTTTCCCTGCACACACACCTCCTGCCAGCTGCCTGAGCGGAGGCTCCCGCCAGGGGGGCAAGCCCAGGGCAGCGGCCCCTTTTCGCTTCTGGGCTTAGACCACAGGGGGGTTGGGAGGTGTGTGGAGCTCCCCACTGTTCCTTGGGGAGGGGGCAGGGTCAGCACCTCACTTGCCCAGACTCAGGAGATTCTGTAGGTACCGCATTGGGGCTGTGAGGATGACGGGCACAGAAAGTACCAGGACATGGGTATGTTTTGTGTGCCCAAGCGCCTAGTCACTTCTCACCCTTCCCACCAACGCTTCAAAAGGGAGTCTGGTCACAAATGTGCCCCTTCGCCCAGCAGCCCACCAGGAGGCCAGGTGTGTGTGCAGAGGCCCTGGGCAGTTTCTATTCTGCTCAGGCTGCTGCTCCAGGCCTACACGGCTGAGCCTACCCCGCACCATCCACCAGACCCCTGCAACCACCACATCTCAACACTGCTCACCCGTTCACGGAGCCCTCGATACTGGCTGTTCTACATCATCAGACTCGCCCTTTCCAGGAGTGTTTCCCCTGTTCCAAGTGCCTAGACTGCTTGCAGCTTCCCATCACTGGGAGGGGCAGGGTGGGGACAGCCATGCTTATAGGTTCTCAGAACCATTTGCTTTAATAGCATCCTTGTGCCATTAACACAGATGGCTGATGGGAATAGGCGGCTCCAGGTCCCAGGGCTGCCCTTGCTGTACCTTGTCCCTCAGGCTACACCTGCGGACCCAAGGAGACCAGAGCCACTTGTGGCGAAGCTGCTGCTCCTGAGGCAGGTATCGCCCTCCATGGCTGGGCCTCCCCCGGCTCTGCAGGAGCCCTCCCTCCCCCAGCCTGGACCAGCCCATCAAGCTCGAGCTTCCAGACCTGGCTGGCCTCATGCTTTCACTAGAGAATTCAAACCATCGGATTCCTACCACTTCCCACTACAGACAGGATGGGGTCCACACAGCCACATGTCAGCCCCATCACGTGGGGCAGCCTCACCCAGATGTCCCAGCTGCTCCGCTCCATCCTGAGCCGTTATCCTTCCCCCAAACAAGGCAGCCACTGCCAGGATGCACTCAGAACTAGAACTTTAATGGGCAGCTAGTAACCACTTCTCAGCTGAAGTTTCCCTCTCTACCCAAAGCATTTGCCGCCCCACTGGATTCTGAGGGATGGGGAACAGGATAAGAAGGGGGTTTCTCAACTCTCCAGGCTCCCCCTTCTCCCCCCACCCCCCATAGAGGGGCAGACAGGGCTGGCAGCACTAGGCCGGGTCTAAGGCATCATCTTCCACCATTTATAGGCAAAGGGCACGCGGCGGACGTTGGCGCAGGCACAGAAGTCTCCGATCTCAGTCATGTAGCAGTCAAAGTCGTTGATGAAGGTGCATTTGAAGCCCAGGGGCTCCAGCAACTGGCAGATCCTCTTTTCCAGGCAGCAGGTGCCCTTGATCTGGGGCCCAAAAGGCTTGGGGATGCCCAGGTGCTTGCCCATCACAATCATCTGCAGCTGTCAGACAGGATGGGCAAGGCCTGGGTGGGCTGGCGCCACGGAAGACGCCGCCACTGGGTTCAATGCAAGGGAACACCCGGCTGCCGCGGGCTGACTAGACCAGCAATAGCAGGCACATACCCGGCCCTTCTCCAGGCCTGCGTTCATCAGACATCGCCAGTCAATGGCAGGTCCAGCTCACTTCTGCCTGAGCCTCCCACGGCCCCGCCCAAAACCCTGCCTGGCCAAAGTCTGGCTTTGCCAACTTCCCTGGTTCCCGTCCCTGATCTGTTATTCTGGCCTTCAGTCCTGTCTGCGTCGGTCTTGCCTCCCTCTACTGGAATGTCCATTTGTTACATCTCAACGCTAGCATCTTTCCCCTTAGAGCAGTGGTCGGCAAACTCATCAGTCAACAGAGCCAAATATCAACAGTACAACGATTGAAATTTCTTTTGAGAGCCAAATTTTTTTAACTTAAACTATATAGGTAGGTACATTGTGATTAACTTAATTAGGGTACTCCTAAGGCTTAGGAAGAGCCACACTCAATAGGCCAAAGAGCCGCATGTGGCTCTCGAGCCGCAGTTTGCCAACCATGGCCTTAGAGCAACTCCCACGGCCTGCACCTACTCCCGAGGTCTAGAACGGCTCCTGTGTCATGCCCAGAGGGCCACATGGGTCTTGTTAAATTAACAGGTCCCCGTGTGTCCCTGTCTCAGAGGAGAGGCTTGCAAGTGTTGAAGGAATTAGCCCACACGTCTGAGAAAGCATGTGCAGTGTCCACATGGCAGGTTGCAGTTGTGAGAAAGGCCAGGTCTAGGCCAGAGGTGCCCTAGGCTTGGCCCAGCAGGGGCTCATGTACACGCATACCCCCAACTTCAACTCCTCGTCTACATAGGAGCAGTGCTCCCTGGAGTGGACACTTCCCGTTCCAGACGCTGCCCTGATCACAGGCTATGTTGGCAGGAAGAACCCGTCTCGGGAGCTGGCCACCCGCCCTGTCTCAGCCAGCAGCTGCCTGGCCCCTTCGAGTCTGGTGGTAACACAGCATCCTGGTAAGGTGGCTGCGTAGTGACTACCCTAAGGTTGGGGATGAGCCCAGAGCCAAGCCCATGGTCACTGCTTGGCAAGTCACCCAGCCTGGGCCCCACTCACTGCTCCCATGGGGGTGGAGGGGGGGCGGGTCCTCCCTCCACCTCTCAGCACCATGTATGTCAGGGAACCAGCCAGTTGGCTGAACAGCCCCCCACCCCCACCCAGGGGGGCAGCCAGCCCACCCCGTGCCTCACCAGGTTGGGGAAGTAGGGCCTGGCGTAGAGTTTCTCTGTCTGCTCCGTGGCGGGCACATTGCTCAGCTGCTCCAAGCAGAAGAGCTGTGGGATGTGGATGATGTCCCTCTCCAGCAGGCCCAGCTCCTGCTTCAGGATGTCTCGGTTCAGGTTAATGCACTTCTGCGGGCGGGCGGGGCGGGTGGGCCGGGAGGGGAGTGAGCTCACCGAATGGAGGGAGTGGCCTCAAGTAGCTCCCACCTTTCCATCACTCGCTGCCGTGTGTGGGAGTCAAGGCCTGATCTTGGGAGGCTAGGATCTCAGAGCCTGTCAGCCCCGAGGCAGCTACTAGTCCTGATTCTGTAGCATGCTCCCCTTTGGCTCTCAGGCCTGGCCAGAGTGGGGGACCTGGGCAAGGGCAGGAAGCTGAGGGGCCTTAGGAAGGACGGGAGCAGTGGTCCCCACACGGGCACTGCCCAGCTCAGACCTGGTACTGCCCAACACCTGAGCATCTCCCTGGTCTGACGCAGGGCTCCTGGACACTATACCCAGGACACTGTCCAGGGCTGTTCTGACCCCATACCCGGCCGGCACCCCCCCTGCTGTGCCAGGAAGCCTTCCCTCCCTGTTTTGGCAAAGGTCAGGGCACCAGTGCACTGTGGCTCTGAATACGCCTTTGTCAGGAGCCATGAAGTCCCCGTGGGCAAAGCAATTTTGTACTGACCATGTGACCCCGGGCAACTCTGCCCTTCTTCCAGAAGCTAGGTAATCTCTCCTGGGAACTCCCCCTCCCCTCCCCCCAATGCTTCTCGCAGCCCACAGTCCTCATTTCCAGAGATCCGAGGTGCTGGGTGATTCTGAACAGCGAGCTGATGGGCCCGAGCATTGAGAAGGCCCTGGTCCATTCCTAAGCCTCTTAGGGAAGTCAGGGCAGGGGGCCTCTGCCCGGAGGCTGAGGAGCTACAGCACGGTTTTCTGGTCAGACACTGAGTAACAGTGGATGCAGCATGAACTTGGCAGTCCTGTGGGTTCAAACCCAGTACCCAACTCATCAGCTTAGGCCCGTGACCTTACGCTGAGCCCGTCATACACAAGATGGGTTTGACTTCACAGGGTGACTTCGAGGATTACAGAAACGTAACTATACATGATGCTTGGGCTCTAGTAGTTGCTCAATTAGGAGCCTGTCTAGATCGCCAGTGCCTCCCCCACTTTCTGGAGCGGGTCCCTCACACCCTTGACTCCCGGCTCCTACCTCCACGTAGTCGTTCTGCTTCCTCATGTCGTCATCATCCAGAAGCTGATTGATGGTAGTGGCCTCCCTCCCTGGAGGAAGGAGAAGGCAGGCGGGCCTGTAGGCCAGGGGGCAGGCAACGCTGTCCAGGGCTGGGGAGACTCAAGCCCTGAGCACGGCCAACGGGGTGTATTCCTGGGCCAGTGACTAGTGTGGGTGGCCTGGCTAGTCTCCAGGGACCCGCCGAGGTCAAAGGTCACACCTGGGTCCATGAAAACGCAGGCAGGACTTTTACTGCCACCGGCCACTCTGTCCCTGGTAGGATGGGGAGTCCCTGCTTTGGGGGAGGCAGCCTAAGACAGGTTAGCAGGTGACTTCAGCCCCACGCACCTCGTACCTGGGCACCTCCGTGCCTTCTGTGGCCTGTACAACCGGGCCACATTCTACCTGGGACTTTGACCCTTGACCAAGTTATTTAACTTTGCTCCTCCAGTGCCTCATCTTCAGGAACTTCAGTTGGGGTACCAGCGTTCAGCGTGTGGTGTGTGACATGCGGCACATGCTCTGCAAGGGTCACCTTCTAGGAGGGTGAGATTCCTGGGCCCCTCCCCAAAATTGAGGAGGTGTAGAGCGGGGCTGAAATTCTGCATTTCTAATAGGTGCCCTCAGACCTTACATGGCATTGCAAGGGTCTAGGGCAGCAGTTGCCAACCTGTCAGACCTCCACCAGTTGGGGACTGCTGGTCTAGAGAACTCCCAGCGCCCCACCCCATCCCGGGCCCCCACATGTTTAGAACAGGCCTGCCCCGGCCCCAGCCACACCATCCCTGCTGGTCCGCTTACGTCTTCCTTAGGGGCGGCCAGGAGACCCCTGAAGTCCCAGTGCCCAGGTACTTAACCTGACATTCCCTGAATAGTTCCGGAGACTGCAGTCAGCA